CAGCTAGTTTATTTCTTATTTATTTTTTTATGTGATGCTGAGGATTGAACCCAGTGCCTCACGCATGCAAAGCAAGCGCTCTACCAGTGAGCCACACCCAGCCCCTAGTTTATTTTTTCAATCTTCAGTCTTCTGACCTAACAATATTTCTAAGCACTCAGGACATAGATAGGCAAATATGCGAAGAGCAGTGAGCGGTACAGTTCTCTGGAATGTCTCTGTGCCACRGGTAAACTTAGAAAGACTGACCACAGTCAGAACCTCACCCTGGCTGGCCTAATAAGGCTAACCTTGGGTGCAGTGTGGAGGGTGTCAGTGCTGCCACCAGCTTCACGCTCAGAGCCCAGTCTGCCAAGTTGAAAGTGGACCCGACTACTGGTGTTCTAGCACCCCTTTCAGACTGCCTCTTGTTCCCCCTCTTGGCGTCCAAGAGGTAGGGAGGAAGCCAGAGGGAGGTGCAGCCCTGTCCCTAGGCCCATGGGTTGACCCTGGGAGGTCTGGTCGGGTGCTTTGGGGTGCTGCTCTGCACTCTACATGGCTGCAGAGGCACGGGAACTGCTCCTGCTCCTGCACCAGCACCAGCACCACCCCAGGTCCCAGGGACGCCTGACTCCCTGAGCTCCACTCCATGAAGTCTGTCACTGGGAAAGAGCGCCCAGACCAATCAGCCAGGAGGGCGTGAAGGTGGTGCTTGTGCCCRAGGTCTCAGGACCTGCTGAGGGGTCTGAGCCCGGAGTCTTCGGTGCGCACTGCTTCTTCCACCAACCTGCTGCTGGATGGGGCTGTCTGGGAGGGGTCTGGCCTCCTGTTCCTGGTCTCTCTCTCACACCAGCAGCCCCGTCAGAGGGGCTTGTCTGTGCACCCAATGGCAGAGGCCCTCAGAAGAGCCATGTGGCGGGCATGTCCAGCTCACGGGAAACGTGACTATGTCTCTTTGAGGAAGTGTTGCTTCTTTGGGAACCATATTCCAGGATGCAGTCACACAGAGTCACCAGAGCAGGCAGCAGCAGTTCCACAGGCACCCCCTGGTTCCTGGACACCATTCCCGGCTCACCACAGGGGGCAGGCTCTTCCCACCCCCCACCCCAAGGGTTTTGTCCCCACGCTGGCTGGGTCTTCAGCTGGCCATCAGGCCACCAGTCTGTTGGCTCACTCAAAGAGCAGGTTGGGCCAAGGTGGTGGTGCGCAGGGTGCTTGTGAGCTCGTGGATAAGGGAAGCAGGTCCAAATCTACCCAAAGGAAAGTTCTGATGAGGACGAGGCCCTGCCCACCACCACAGAATGTGCCCAGTGCCACTGGCTGTGTCCCTTAGGAGAGGTACGTGCTGAGGTCTGAGTGGTATACTGGTGGCTTTGAGTTTGGTGAGAGAACATGGGTACCGTTTTACCTACTGTGTCCTCCACCTCTGCCCTGTAGAGCCCATGGAGCAAGTATCCTGCAAAAGGAGGTCAACTGGCATCACCATACCTGCTCATCTGGTCTCAGGGCTTTTACATTCACAGAAGTTATTCAGGACCCAAAGACCTTTTGCTTATGAGGATTGTTATCTATCAATATTTACCATATTAGAAACCAAACTGAATTTTAAAATATTTGCCTAATTTTATTTAAACAGATATAAATTCATTACATGATACCATAATAACAAAATTTTAAATAAAATAATAACTGTTTCAAGGAGCTGGGGTGTAGCTCAGTGATAGAGTGTTTACCTCGTATGCACGAGGTCCTGGATTTAATCCCCAGGACTGCAAACAAAATTCTCAAAAATCTAGTTTTTAAAAAGTTGAGAGAGTGGCTTATTTTTGTGCTTTTGCATATTGTCTGGTTTCTCATATCTGCTTTTGGTCAAATGGTAGCAGTATGTTTTGGCCTCACATAGATATGTAGTTGAAAACAGGAAGAATGTTTTGATTTTTGTTGTTGTTGTTGTTGTTTTGTCTTGGTGCTGGGAATTGAACCCAGGGCCTCAAGCATGCCAGACAAGTGCTCACCACTGAGCTACACTTCAGCTCTCATGCATGATCTTGGAGCATGATCTATTTTCACTTGGAAAATGTTGATTGATTGAGTTATAAACTCTTCCAAACACTGACATGTTTCATGGCATATGTCAAAGAAATCAGTCATCAATATCATTGCCAGTTACATCAGGGAAATCTTCAGCTACTCAGAGGCTATCAAGGTCAATGGTGGTGGACATACTTCTCCTAAACCTTGATTTTGATTGAAAATTCCTCTTTATCATTGGCCAGAGATGCTGTGGCTGTTTTCCTTGCCGTGAGAGACCACTTCGCTCTTTCTCAAGAAGCTATCTGCCAACACCTGGACRGGATCACTGTGGTTCGTCTGTCATTGGTCATTCTAGTTGTCCACTGGCCACTCGGTCACACCTGAGCACTCCTACCAGGCCACAGTCTATGGAGATTCAGTGCAAGGGCTTTTGCCCCTTCCCGTCGYGTGGCACAGAAGCCTCAAGGAGGGAGGTTGCTTTTTCTTCTTTTGAGGCAGGGACCTGCAACCTGGCCAGGCTGGTCTTGAACTCCTGACCGCCAGCCATACTCCCACCTCAGCCTCCCAGATGCCGGGACTATGGGTGCACCACAGCAAGGATGGAGATTTCACAATATTAATAACTTGCAGCTTCATCCAAGGCAAAACTGATCTCTGTCAGCCTCAAGTGCCTGGCCTCAAAGAAGAGCATACCTAGCTATCAGAGCCATCGTTCCAGGTGTGCAGGCAGGTTCATCATCAATGAGAGAGTGTTCTGTGAAGAAAGAAGCACAGTGTCCTGTGAAGTGTCCCCGGCCACACAGACYCTGCGAGGAAATGAGCGGAGACCAGGGGCTGCAGCCAGGTCTGCCCAGGAAGAGCTGGAGGAGGGGCAACAGCCCGCAGCAGCAAGGGTGCAGGGACACTGGCGCCCGTGGGGCAGAGCCAAGCCTCGCCCCTCTCTGTAGGCTCCGAGTTGCCCCAGAGACTGGAGACCTGATGTTCCCCTGAAGTGGACAGAAACATGGGGCCCTGGCCCTGTTGCCCTCCCAAGCAGACTCGGGGCAAGTCCGCCAGCTTTTCATTCTGTGACTAAAGGACCTGACAAGAATCACCCAGAGGGGGGCTGGGTGTGGCTCAGGGCCGAGCGCTTGCCTCCCACGTGTGAGGCACTGGGTTTGGTCCTCAGCACCACCTAAAAATAAATAAATGAAATAAAGATATTGTGTTCATTTACAACTAAAAATTATTTAGAAAAAAAGGAATTAATCAGAGGAAGAAAAGTTTATTTTGGCTCATAGTTTCAGAGGTCCGGTCCACGGTCAGCTGACTTCACAGCTCTGGGCCTAGGGGGAGGCAGAACATCGTGGCAGGAAAGTGTGGCAAGGGGAGCAGCTCAGCTCCTGGCAGCCAGCAAGCAGAGAGAGTTTGGTGCCAGGAGCCTGGGGTGATATGACCCCCAAAGACACAACCCCAGTGACCTGCTTTCTCTGGCTGCCCCACCTGCCTACAGTTACCACCCATTAATCCATTCAAATTAATTAATCCATCACCTGGATTAATCCACCGATGAGGTTTGGGCTCTCACAATCTGGTCATGTCACCTCTGAACATTCCTGCATCTCACACTTGAGCTTTCTAGGGACACCTCACGTCCAAACCATAATTCTGCAGCTATTACCAAGGCAACAGGTTTAACATTAGGGTCTGCCAGGGGGCACCAAGGGGCTCTGTAGGGGTGGGCCACAGCCAGGATCATGCTATATCCAACGGGATCCAATTAAGGCTGAATGCTACATTCTGAAAATGGACCAGCAGATCCCCCATCAAGCCCCTGGAACTTGCCAGCTGCGGCATGACTTGGAAGAAGTCTCTGGGCAGAGGGGAAGGATCTCAGACAAGAAGATCGTCCTGGATGATCTGGGTGGGCCGTTAATGCCTTCCAGGTGTCATGAGAGTCGCTGAGGAGGGGCTGGGGGCATAGCTCAGTGGCCGAGCGCTTGCCTAGCATAGGTGAGGACTGGGTTTCATCCCCAGCACCACATAAAAATAAATGAATAGAATAAAGGTGTCATAAAAAAACTTTAAAAAAACGAGACACTGAGGAAATAGATCTTCTGCACACTGGTACATCCAGGGAAAGACCCGGCATTTATCTGTTTACCTGTCTCCTGGGCTAACAGTCCCACTGGGCAAAAAACAAGGCACACAGGAGGACGCTTCCCAGCTGAAGTGTTCCCACAGATAAGCCAGGAAGTTTCCCACCAGCACAAGGCAGTGCTGTGTGCCTCCTGGGAAAGAAATGCAGCCACAAGAGAGCCCTCTTGCCCCCAGTGAATCTGACGAAGTCCCTAAAGTCACCCTCTGGTCAGCAGGAAGAGAGGAAAATGCCAAAGTCCTGAGACCACCAGGACCAGCAACCTCTGTCTTCAGATGACCCCCAGACGACACTGGCAGAGTCTCTGGACCACGAGGAAGGTCGGCAGGGCTAGAGTGTGTCAGGGAGGGGTGTGCGTGTGCCAGGAGGCCATGGAGACGCCAGCCCTGGTGGGCTGCACGGTGGGCAGAGGGGCTGGGGACCCACCTGGGCTCACAGGTGTGGCCTCGCAGCAGCCCACCTGCGCCCTGGGTGGCTGCTGCCTGCCATGCCTTTTCTTCGCCATCAGGCTTCCCTCTTACACTAAGGGAGCCACGCCCAGGGGACCTGGAGACTATTTCTAGAACGAGGGGCTGAGCTGGACACCAGAGCCAGGAGGACGAGCAGGACGTTCAGGTGCCTGCGTCCCTTTGGAGGCCCATCCCAGCTGTCAAACAGGCCCAGGCCTCCGTGAAAGGTCAGACTCACAGGCTCTTTCAAATCCTTTATTGTGACCAGGCCTAGGAGCCAGAAGGGGTAGTGACTGAAGGTGGGTGTGTGGGGTCCTCCGTGAGGCTGGAGTGGGCCTTCCTGGTGCCTGACCGTGGCCAGGCCCCAGGCCAGTTCAGCAGGGCCCGGGCCGGCAGGCCAGTCACCAGCTCAGGATCCCCGGGCAGTACTTGTCGATGAGCTCCTGGTAGTAGGGCCGCAGCTGGTCCACGTCCGGCAGGTCAGGGCACTTGGTGTACAGGTCAAACTTGCTGCAGCAGGAGAGGGGCAGTGAGCCTCCTGAAGCAGCCCTCAGGCCACCACCCCCTTCGCCTCCCCCAGGAGAGGCCTCACTTAAACTCCTGCACCCAGGGCAGCATGTCCAGGTCTCGCTGGCTGCACAGCTGCCTGTAGTCGCCGCCCGTGTGCCACGGGTAGAAAGAGTGGAACCTGATCATGTAGAAGGCCTGCAGAGGCCACACCAGAGAGCTCAGCCCCAGTCCAGCTGGGGGGAGCCGGATGGTGCTGGGCGGGATTCCGGGCCAGTCCCTCCCCCACCTACCTCCGGAGGCAGGGAGAACTTGTTGAACCTCATCATCTGGTATAAGTACTCTGCAGGAGACAGGGCCTCACTGCCAAGCACTGAGCACAGCCGGCCACCTTGTGGCACCCACGCTGCCCACCTCTAACGGGACTCACCATCATGGCCCCAGGACATGAGGACGTTCTCGAGCCCACAGTGGGGCTGGTACATGCCAAGTTCTGAGCTGCAGTGAGAGATGCACATGAGGAGGGCACAGGGTGGCCTGGGAAGGGTGGGCCAGCCCCGGGGTAGGGTCACCTGTATCGAGGGTCCCAGAGGTCTGGGTTCTCCTGGAAGGTAGAGTCACGGAACACCACAGAGGCCTGGGGACGGCAGCCAACAGGGAAGGTGTCTCCGACGACTGCCCACTGGGAAGGCATGGCCAGCAGTGGGCAGGGGGCACACAATTGACCCGAGAGCTGAGACGGCCCTCACCCCCACCTCCAACTCCCAGCCCTCACCTGGGGCTCTCCCCAAAGAGCCAGGACCTTTCCCAGGTCATGCAGGAGCCCAACAAGGTGGAACCAGTCTGGGGGAAAAGGACATGATGAATGGGGAGGCTGCCGGAACCCGGGGGGGTGCCAGGCCCTGGGCTGAGAGCCCAAACCCCAGGGCCTGCTGCCCCTGGATGGGTCCTACCTTCCAGGGTGGAGGGACACCCCGCCCCACCACAGCTGGAAGGTTGTACCCTTGTCTGGGTGGGCCTTTCGAATGCCCTCTGCTGTCTGGAAGGCATGGAAGGAGTTGGGGAAGTCCACATCTGGGTCCGACTCATCCACCAGGCTGTCCAGCATGTCCACAGCCTCCATGACAGTCATTTTATTGCAGGAGAAGCTCCCGAACTGGGTGTGCTGGGTGAAAGGGAGAAGTCCGTCCCTCATAGAGTCAAGGAACCAGAAGAGGCTCAGGGGGCTGCAGGACAGGGCCATCTACAAGGCCCTCTCTGTCCATTCTGGGCACCAGGCTGAGGGTGAAGGGTTTGCACAGGTGGCAGGGTGCCAGCACCTTCTTCCTGACGAAGTCCACAGTCTGGTGGGTATGCATGAGCTTGTAGGTAGCAAAGACACGGTCCAGAAGAGGGCCCGACTGCAAGTCAGATGGTCAGCTGAGGCTATGTGTCAGGCCGGGAGGACAGCCTCCTTCCCCAAGGCCAGGCCCCACAAGACGTGAGCTGCCCCAAGCACACCCCTCTAGCTGTGGGAAGGGGCATGGGTAGGGGCTGGGCTAGAGGGGACAGACAGGGAGGAGTCCTCACAGTGTAGTTTCGGAAGCTGCCCTGGTCTTTGGCGGCCTCTGTGCCCATGTCAGGTCGGTAGACGAGGGAAGGATCGGGGCCCTGGTGGAGGGGGGATTTGAACCGTTTCACCATCATGCCAGCCCCACGAGGAAGCAAGGACATCCCCATGGGACTGGAGCTGCTGGAGGCCAGTGATGGAGCTGAGGGCACCCCCCGCACCGGCCTCAGTGACTCCCTGGGTCCTATCTGCTGAGGAGAGCTGATGTCTGCTTCCAGGTGGAGGGGAGCTGGGMGGGAGCAGCAGCCCCGCTGGGCATCCTTGCAGGATGGAAGCTGCTTTTAGGAAGCCGGAGTTCATCAGGGAGCCTGGGGGCCAGGGGCTGCTGACCCCTGCCGCATCTGGACCTGAATGAACAGGGCTAGCAGGAGCCAGCTGGAAGAGGGTGGAGCCCCAGAACCGGGTGGGGAACTCACCACAACCACCTTCATCCTGAGAGGGTGCGCTGGCAGGCTGGCAGGTTGGCGAGAGATCTACCAGGTGCCTCTATATAGGCCCCCAGGTTACATAAGTGACCGACACTATTTGCCCCTTGATCTTGGCCCTGGGTAATGAGTGACTACTGCCTTCCTCCTGGCCTCAGCAAATTAATGTGTCAGCAGGGGAGCAGCCCCCCCAGCAGTCTGGCCCCCTCCCTGACTTCACCCTCCCCTGTTCTCAAGTCACTGACTTGCCTGGACACCAGGCACTGCTCTCTGCAGTCCAGCTCTCTCTGCACCTCCCTGTCTGCAGTGGACCCCTCCCAACACAAGGTGCAGACCCTAGACCCTATCCTAAGGTGCAAACTCCCCCATACTTTATCCTCAGGGCACCTATGGATTATGGGTGAGGCAGCCTTGTTGGAGAAAAAAACGATCCTAAGGCTGGTGGTACAGCTCAGTGGCAGAGTGCTKGCCCAGTGTGCGCAAAGCCCTGCATTCATTCCCAGCACTGCAAAAGGAAGAAAGAATGAGGAGGAAGGAAGGATCATTCTGACAGTTATTATGCGGGTAAGGAAAACTTTATTGAAGACAGTTGCAACGGGAGAGTGAGACAGAGSACGACCAAGACTGCCGGGAGGCACAGTCAGTGAGCACAGACGGCTGAGGCACCAAGGGAGCAGGCCTGACCAAGGCCTAACCGGGTTCTTGCTGGAGGCAGATGGGTGATCAGATTCGAGGGTGGAGGATTCCCCATAAACCGATTTAGGATTCTTGCTCACCCAGCAAGGCCCAGCCAGCACATGGCCAAGTTCAGGTCTAGTCCTGAAGAGGCCTTAGGGCAGCCTTCTGAAGTGTCCAGCTCCTGGGGAAATGGCTCCATAAGCCAATAGCACTGACCAGGGCTCAAATGCATTTCATGGTCCACTGGCTCTGAGGACACAGCAGGGACCAAGCGAACAGAAATACCTGCCTAAGAAGCCACATGCTGGGAGCATCAGAGAGGGAAGGGACATAGTAGAGACTGAAGGGTGGGGACCTTGAAGGCCAGTGTCACCCATTCAATGGGCTCCTCCGGCAGCTGTGCTGAGAAGAGGTGGTAGGAGAGACCCCACCACACCCTCACCACTGAAAATGACTGTTCTGCTCATCCTTTGCTGATTTGCCTGGGGTATGTGTTTCCCCTGTCTCCTCCCACTGGAGCCTCAGCCCAGAAGGGCCTGTCTGGACTCTTGGACATTCCTGCATGCTCCATGCTCAGTTCACACTAGGCAGGATGGGGGTGACAGCCTCCAGCAGGCTAGAGCCATCTCCCTCAAAGCAGGTGGTGCCTCAAAGCAGGAAGGAGCGGCATCTGGATAGGATTCTGAGGAGGGGCCAATAAGGTTAGAACACTTCAATAGCTGGACGTGCGCTGGGAAAGCCCATGGGGTAGGGCAGGCAGCACTGCTGCTGGAACTCCACAGGGGAGGCAGGGGATAGCCAAGTGTCGCTGTCATACCAGATGCACGGCTGTGGGTCATGACAGGCCACCTTCTGACACTGCATGGCTGGCCAGGAGGGCAAGTTGTCCCACTTCAGGGAAAAGCCCTGGGGGACCTACAGCCCMCGTCCAGGTCCGGAGGAGGCAAGGTGTCACCCAGAAGAGGGTCTGGGGGAGGCTGAAGGAGTCCATGAAGAGGGAACATCTTGTACTGAAGAACAGACCTCACAGGCCCAGAAGGTGTGTGCTGGACTCTGCCTAGTGCCCAGGAGCCTGGGAGGGGGTCTTGGTAGAGAGAGTGCCTGTCTCTTCCCAGCTCACTCTGGACCCCTTGCCTTCACTCCAGGACCTCACACTGTGTCCTCACTGTCCATCTGCCTCTGTCAACACCATTCTGTGGCAGCAGGGCACATGACCCTGGAGCCCAGGCTGCTGGCCTCTTGTGGGGTGGCTATTGCAGCCACACCTTCCATGGGTCTGGGGCCTTACACCCTCTGCTCCTTTCTCTGGGGAGCCTTGGAGGAAGCTGAGACAATGGCTTCTGTTCTCATGCAGCAATTTTAAAAAATGAATCATTAAAAAAATCCATCCCAGCCCAGTGGTCACTTATAATCCCAGCGACAAGGTGAGTTAATGCTGCAAGTGACCCTCGAGCTAGAAGAGCATCTATCTTGGGGGTACAGAAAGCCCAAGGGGCAGGTCTGTTGGTGACCCTGAGAGCCAGTTCTGTGGTGGGCACTGCAGTGACCAGAAGCACATGTCTCACCTCAGTGTGGCTACCTCTAGAGTTGGGGTAAGGAAGTGCCCCTGCCAGGTGGCTGTGAGCTGAGGGTGGTGCCAGGTGGCTGTGAGCTGAGGGTGGCGCTGGCAAGCATTTGCACGTCAAGTGCTGTGTGAGTGCCGATAAGTGAAGCAGAATGGCTTTGGGGCTCGAGCGACCCACCTGCGAAGGCCCCATCTGGGGCAGGGGGAGCTCTGCTCCTTGGCTGTGGTTCTCTATCACTTGAGGCTGCTTCTCCCCCTACCCAGGCTCTGGCTGGGTGTGGAGGAGCACTCAGCCTCCACCATCCCACACGGGTCCTGCTGTGTGCCCCACAGGGTGGAGGGGGGTGGGGAGCCAGTATTGCTGTGAGGTTCAACCTGATTTGGGTTGGATCTTTCTCTTTCTTTTTAAAAAATATTTATTTTTAGTTGTAGTTGGATACAATATCTTTATTAATTAATTTATTTATTATGAGGCTCGAATCCAGGGCCTTGCATGTGCTAGGTGAGCGCTCTACTGCTGAGCTACAACCCCAGCCTGGATCTGTCGCTTTCTTTTTGTTCCTTTTTATAAACTTTAGGGTTCGGTTTTTTTGCTGGGGTTGGTACCAGGGATTGAACCCAGGGACACTATACCACTGAGCTGCATGTCCAGCCCCTTTTATTTTTTGTTTTAAGACAGGGTCTCCCTAAGCTGCACAGTGTGGACTTGAATTTGTGATCCTCCTGCTCAGAGTCGTTGGGATTATAAGTGACCACCACCCCACTGGGCTGGGGTGGATTTTTTTTTTTAATGATTCCTTTTTAAAAATAACTTTATTTTATTTATTTTTAAACAAATAAAGCTGAGGCTCAAACCCAGTGCATGCGAGACAAGCATTTCACCATGAGCTACAGCCCCAGTCCCTGGGGTGGATCTCAGTTGGCCTAATTGGAGTTGGGAAGGGGTGACTCTGCTCCTCCCCAGAATGACCCAGGAGTGTCCCCGAGCCCCTTCCCCCCCTGCCCCCCTGGGATCCAGGTGGAGTCTCCATCATCACCTCAGCTTTGACTCCACTGATGGTAACTGGAGCCCTGGGGGTCCCTTGCGACCTCTTCCCTCACCTCAACTCTGAGAACCGTGATATCAGAGTCTGCCCTACTGCCCCCCCCCCCCGGGTCTCAGGGAACATGGGGAAGGACTCTTCCAGGGAGGCACAACAAGCACAGAGGGCAGGAGAGCAGCAAGGGCCTCCCTGCCAGAGGGCTGCAGGGAAGAAGCCTCTGGAAACACATCAACTGCTCTTCCCCTTTCCCAGAGGGGGCCGGCCCCCTGTTCAGGACTGTGGCTGAGGCTCCATGTCCCTGAGAGACCCCTTCTCTCTGAAGCCCCGTTTGGCAACTGATGCTGCCAGCCACCTCTGCCCAGCACTTGTTCCCTGAGTGTGCACAGTTCAGAGATGCACAAGCTGGGGCACACAGATGGTGCATGTAGACACACGACACATCCACACGGGTTTAGGGTCCAAGCCTGCAGGTGCAGGTGCTCAGGTCCAGCTGCTTGAAAGGGCTCCAAAGGGCTGGACCAGGGCAGGGGCTTAGCTGCAGCTCTGGGGTCAGTACCACACTCCGGCTGGGTGGGATGGGCAGGGGCGTGCCAGGATGCACTTCAACCATAGCTGTGGGGGCTGCTGGGGTCCACAGGTGCTAAGTCCCGCCGGCCAGCTGGCCCTACCAGCTTCCAGAGGCGGTGGCTGAGGTTCTGCACCTGGCAGGTGCCTAGCATACAGCCAACCCGCAGGAGCTGGGCTTGGGGCCTTCGGGATCCCAAGTGTCGCCGGGGACCTGAGTGCCGTCGACCACCATCCTGGAGAGGCCGACCCAGAGTGGGAGCCAGGCTGGCCCTCCCCTGTGGCTGGGGAGCCTGATGAGGCTTCCAGACCACAGGCAGGGGTGCAGGGTGCTGGGGCTGCTGGCCACCGGGAAGAATCTGAGCTGAAGGCTCTCTGCAGAGGGGAAAGGATCATGTAAACTTTAAGGGCTCAGCCTTTCAGAAACCCCCAAACCCAACCACTTTCTTCTCACTGCAGGCCTAGAGTCATTGACAGGGAAGCCCACAGCTTCCCCTACAGCCTGGCAGAGGACCAGGGGAAGCCCAGGGGACCCTGCCCCCACCCCCCCACTGCCTGGGGCACAGCCAGGGGAAGCCCACCATACCTCAGAGCTCAGTCCTGGTAAGTTGACCATTTCAGGAGCAAAAGTCACATGTCCCACTAACAGCACCTCCCTGGGCAAAGGGCACCCAGGCACCCTGTTGACCCCTCTGAGCCCTCCCTTTAGGGTGATCAGGGGCCAACAGGCTTGGGGATGCCTCCAAGTCTCACCTCCCCCAGCAGACCCCTCTGGTGGAGGGGCTGCTCTGTGGGTGTGTGTGTGGGGGGTGGGGGCAAAGGAAGCTGACCCGCTCAGGAAACGCTGAAGGTGTGGCGGGGGGCCTCTGATTTAGGAGATGAACCCTAGTGAGGGGGTTCTCAACCGGGAGATGTGGGGGGCACATAGGTTTTCAGAGCTGTTGGAGCCCAGCACTCACCTGGGTTTGGAGAACCGCGAGCCCCAGCCCAGGCCGCCAGACAGCGCGCCAGGGAGCTGCAGGTAGAGGAGGCTGATGCAACCCAGGGTGACCGTGACCGCCAGGAGCCGGGCCATGGCGGGCGGGGCTGGGGAGGGAGCGGGTGGTGAGCCCAGCAACTGGGGACTGTCTTGGACTCCATCACCCTCATCAGCGTGCACAGTGGGGATCCCTTGAAAACCCGGGGGCGCCTGGTGTGGGCGTGCGTCTGCTGGGTACCTGTGTGGGTCCGGGCGTCCAACGGGCAGATGTATCTGGGGTCTTTTGGCGGATCCCGGAGCGTGGAGCGAACTGGGCTGGGCTGCCCTGGGGTCTCCTCGGTCAGTTCCCAGTCGGACTTAATGCCTGGGTCCGCGCCTCAGGGCTCCACTGCTACTCCAGCGCTAAATAGGCTTTGGAGCAGGAGGCGGAGTCCGACGCGCCGATGGGCGGGGCGCCCTCCCGGGCTTCCTCCTGGACCTGGTCCTGGGCCGGGTGGACTGCCTAGTGGAGCCCACCTGCTGCCTTTGCCTACTGGTCCGGTGAGCAATGAATGGGCGCAGAAAGGGGCAGCGTGACAAGGGTCACTCATGGGCCCGTCCCTGCTGAGTAGTGCTCGGCGACTGGTCGACTGGTCGGGAACCTGGAGGCTACAGACATCACTCCTGGCACCTTCTGGTGTTGGAATGCAGCCCCAGAGCCTGGTGGGGCCAGACCTCACAGGCTGAAGGGCGGGTGCTGGGGTGTGGCGTACAATCATCTGGCCAGGGCATCCATCCCGTCAACCACCTCCATCTCTCCATGTGACACAAGAGTGCTGGGCAGGCCAGGGTCCTCCGAGGAGACTGATCACTCCTGACCAGGCCATTCCTACCCTTCTGGAGACTCCCTTGAAGCCTACCCTACAGCCCTCTTCACCAAAGTATTGAGTGGTTTTTGTAAGAAATTTAGATTTAAGTCAAGATGCATCTTACTGGAGTGCTGCCCACCCAGAGTCTCTCCCCCAGCTCTAGGCAGGGCCCCATTCCTGACCCTCTCTGTGACACTGTTGTGTACATATGCAATATGACATGAGATATCTGTATGTCTTTCCTACAATTGGTTCTACTCTAATATCCAGGAATTATGTGAGTCCTTATTGATGTGAAATTAGGTGATTTCCAGTTCTTCCATGAGAAAAACCCTGCCACCTCAAATTCACTTGTGCCAAGTGTGTTGTTCTCCACAAAGTTTGCAGCAGTCCACTGTGGATCCTTGAGCACCTGCTGTCATCACCTTCCACTCTGCCAGTCTGATTATCTCGTCACCCTCATGAGTGTTTCACTGCCTGAGCATCTCTATGCCCTTTGTGTTTATTCTCTGTCTCATCCTGTCCCTACTCTCACCCACTCTGTTGGGCTCATCCAAAACCTGGTGGACCACTGTGTGCCTCCTGCTGAGCACACCATGGGTGCTCAACAAACATTTGCTGGATGAATAGTCCAGAAGTGTTGAATGCTGGCCATGCTGGAGAGCTGGGCTTACCTCCTGGGGAACACAGGCAAGCTTGGGCCTTTATTCACCTGTATATTTTTACCAGTTAGATTTGGCAGTGGTCTAATTTATGTAAGAAAAGCAGAGTGGTGGCCAAGAAGACAGGTGAACATGGGTCTGAGGAACCTCTTCCTCCGCTGGGAGGCGGGCAGGAGGGAATGCTGTGATGGCAGGATGAACAGGTCAGGAGACTGGGCAGGACTGGGAGTGGATGAAGAGGCCCTTGGTTTGCTGGCGTAGGCTGCTGGACAGTAGGAAGAGGTTATGCTTTGGATATGCAGAACCCAGCAGAATTGTCTGTCCTATCAGTCTCCAGCCTTGTGGGCCTGAGGCTGTGAAGAGGGCAGGCTGGAACATAGTTTTGGGTTCAGAGATGGAAGGTCCTGGGAACTGCGCTCTCCAGAGAGAATGCAGAGGCAGGTTGGGTGGCTGAAAACAGATTTTTTTTTTTTTGAGAGAGAGAGAGAGAGAGAGAGAATTTTTTAATATTTATTTTTTAGTTTTCAGCAGACACACATCTTTGTTTGTATGTGGTGCTGAGGATCGAACCCGGGCTGCATGCATGCCAGGCGAGCGTGCTACCGCTTGAGCCACATCCCCAGCCCTGAAAACAGAATTTGTCTGCCTGTACTGAAGGGACAGCAGGAACAGTGAGCAGAGGACACAGGTGGAACCAAGTCTGCAGCTCTGCCTCTTCTCACCAGCCCCCACTCCACCCTCAGTAGGTCTCTAAAAATGCTGCCAGCACTACCTTGAGACACAAATGCCTTGGTATTATCCACCCCCCACCAGCACAGAAAAAGTCAACTCCCACCTTTGTCAGGTTTTTACTCTGGGGCAGGTGGAGGTAAGCATCACTAGAGTCACTGTCCATGTCCTTTCTTTCAGACCCTGGGAAAACCGAATGGCTGATACATCCTGGAGCCTAGGTCCTGTCTCTTTGAAAGCCCTCAGTAGTGGGAGTCCTCGGGTCCTCAGGCTCAGTCTGGCATTTGTTATGCCCCCCTTTCCCCCAACGAGATTAGAGGCCCCCACTGGTCCTGTAGCCCCTGAAGTCACATCTTATGGCACCTGCTATATACAGCTGTGCCCCTTAAGGTGAGACTAAATTGTCTCATTTACCCTTAGTCAGGGAAGCTACTTCTGGGAGTGAAAGGCTTTCCACTCCAGCACTACTGGGGGCTTTGTTTGGGGAGTTAAGGTGAGAGAGGAGTTTGATACTGACAGCAACTATTCCACAGAAAGATGGGATTGATGTGGTGGGGCACTGGTAATCAGCCGTGGGAGGTGGGCAGGACAGGTGGGGCATGCGGTGACCCTGGGTGGAGAGTGGGAGCCAATGTGCTTGGGCTCAGTGATGGAGTACACCTCCCTGTTGGTCTTTTTTTCTCTGAGAAGGAAGAGCAGCTGATCATCCCTGAAATATGGGAGGTGGAGACAGAGGACTGAAGTGAGTGCTGACCACATAGCAGCAGGCTGGATAGTGTGTGGGGACCATGTGTCATCTGTGGGTCACTCTGCCCTGGATGATAGTGGGTGTGGACCTTGAGTGTATAGATGGTCAGGACTGTATATTTTTTTTTTTTTGAGAGGGGGGGGGGGAGAATTGGGGATTTAACCCAGGAGGCTTTACCACTGAGCTGTATCTCCCAACCCCTTTTTTTTTTTAAGTATTTTTTTAAAAGAGAGAGAGAGAGAGAGAGAGAGAATTTTTTAAAAATATTTATTTTTTAGTTTTCGGCGGACACAACATCTTTGTTTTTTGTTTTTTTTTTGTATGTGGTGCTGAGGATCGAACCCAGGCTGAGCGCATGCCAGGCGAGTGCGCTACCGCCTGAGCCACATCCTCAGCCCCTCTCCCAACCCTTTTTATTATTTATTTTGAGATAGGGTCTCACTAAGTTGCTTAGGGCCTCACTAAGTTGCTGAGGCTGGCCTTGAACTTGTGATCCTTCTGTCTCAGCCTCCTGAGTCCTGGGATTAGAACATCACAGCTGGCACAAGGTTGGATTTTGTGAGATGGGAATAGTGAGAAAACAGGCAGGAGGCTTCAGATGTTGGCAAGATGATAGGCCATAAAAGGTATGCTGAGTGGGGGTAAAATGACAGATGGAGGAAGCCAAGAGGCTATGGGCTGAGGACAGTGGTTTCCTGGAGGAGACCTGAACCTTCTGGAAGAAAAGGAGGCTCTGGGAACCAGGATCCTGGAGAAGGGGAGAAGGCTGGGCCAGTGGCAGAAAACTTGAAGAGGGAGGGGGGAATTCAAGGAACTCTTATATGGGATGGGGGTCCCTTGGGCCAGGACCACTAGGTGTAGTGGAACTGCACGGGGAGTGGGAAGCAGGGCCTTCAGTCTCCAGGAGGAGAACTAGCTCTGGGCTGAGACATCAGGCCAGACTTGCCCAGGGACGCTTCTCCTCCACAGTCAATGGTGTGGAGAGGACCTGCAGTGATGGAAAACAACTCAAACCAGCTCTGGCAGAAAGGAGGCAGAATAGGGCTGGGACTAGGGCTGTGCCTCAGGGCCAGGGCGGGACCCTGGAGCCACTCCCTCAGCTCATTCATCCTCCTGGGCTGGCTCCTGCGGGTGGAGGAGACCGACGGGCCAGTAGTTTCTGCCTCCAACGGGTCCTGCAACAACCAAACTCATTCAAAAAAAGTCTAGCCCTGTCCCCTGGCCTCCCATATCAAGGATCTGGTGCCTCTCCCAGAGTGTCCCGCCCCTGACTCTAGTGTCCTCTGAGTCAAACCCCGTGGCACGGCAGTGCAGCCCCGGCCAGTCCCTCTCCCTGGGGGCGGTGCGGTCTCCGGGAAAGGTGTCTCACGTTGAAGAAAACATCCGATCTTCACAGCGGAACCTGCCGGACTCCCCTTCCCCCACCGCTCGGCCTGGTCGGGTCCAGCGGCCTCCAGTTTGGGTGTTCTGGTGGGCAGAGCCCGGGCTCCTCCAGTTCGCCTCCGCCTGACACCGCGGAGCCTGCGGACCTCACCCCGACCTCCTAGGGGCGGACCCCGGCCTATCTCCACCCACGTGCGAGGGTCCAGACCGCTAGGTCGGCCCTGACGCCGGCCGTCTCTGGATCACTACCCACCGCCTCCCAGGCTGGGCCGACTGACCCACCCGAGCCGCCGTTCGCGTCATCCGCCCCAGGGGCGGTGCCCGGGGCCCGGGAAGGGACCGAACAGCGCCCTTGGGGCCTGCCCACGCCAGGTGAGCCAATGGGGCGCGCCGTTTCAGGCTCCGCCCATGTGGGCGGGGTGAGGGCGCGCAGGCGCACGGCGCGCCCGGGCGGGCCGGCTGGCTGGGAAGATGGCGGCGGAAGCCCGGGCCAGGGCCGCGGCGGAGCGGGCCCGGGGTGTCCCGGGTGCGCGGCCCAGGGCCGGCGCCGGGCCATGAGCGCGCCGCCCTCAAGTCCCCGAGCCGCGGAGCCCGCCCGCGCCCCTCGGGCAGCCCCGCGCCTCTCGCCATGGCGCGGCTCGCGGACTACTTCGTGCTGGTGGCGTTCGGGCCGCACCCGCGCGGTGAGTGTCGCGGCAGAGCGCTGAGGGACTGGGCGGGGGCCGGGGGCTGAGTGTCTGGGCAGCGGGACAGGTCTGGCGACGGAGGGAGGGCCGGGCCTGAGTGTGGTCTGCGGTACCAGGCTGAGGATCGGGACTGTGGGACTGGGCTGTGGATTGAGGGACAGGTTGGGGGTTGAGGGTCGGGCACTGGGCTGAGCGGGCGGAGATGGGGACGAGCCCGGGGCTGAGAAATGGACTGAGGGACCGAGGTACTGAGGGACCTGGCCCAGGAACTGGCCAAAGGTCCCGGGGGTTAAGGGGATAGAAAGACGAGGCTGGACCGAGGGTTCAGTACTGGGATTCGCGAGGGCCCAGGAAGCGTCTCAGTGGCTGTGGTGGAGGTAGTTGCAGGGATAGCTGGGGAGAAGTGGGGCCATCCCTGGGCACCTGCCTTCTGCTGCGGTGGTGGGCAGCAGCATGTGGCTGGAGATGGGAGGGCTCTGAGGCATCTGGCCTCCTCCTCTCCAGTTAGTTGGGATGGACACTCTTGGCCTCCACAGATTGCTGAGTGGCCATGCCCAGAGGCTAGCCCCTTCTCTGACTGGTACTAGGTCTGAAGCCTCAAATAGGCTTGGTAGGATGCAGAGGAAAGCATGGAGGTTCCAAAGCTACTTCATAGAGTGATGGTATTTTAATTGGAACTTGGAGGATTTCAGGATGAAACGTCCTGAACAGAAGAGCATTCTTGGCAATGAGCCTGTTGGTATAGGCTCTGCAAGTCAATCCCTGGGTGGGAGATCATTGTGGTATTGGTGCACCTGTGTCTGAGTACCCTTTCAGCCTGGGGGTGGGTAGGAGAAACAGAGCCTGACAATGACATCAGCAACAGCCGTGGAGACAGTGGTGTTGGGTATTGGCAAGCGTGCTGGGTGTGCCAGTTCCTGCACAGCCCTTTGTGTGCATGATCTCACTTCTTTATCTCCCAAGCCCACCAAGGTTGCCCTGCTGTTTCCCCAATTTGTAGAGCAGAATCAGGTACAGAGAGGTTGAGTGCGCAGTCTAAGGCAGCTCAGACTGGCACTCAGTCTGTCAAATCCCAATGCTGCTGCTGCTGTTGCTTCTTTGTCATCTACATCTCCTTCCTTTTTTTCATGGTGCTAGGAATCAAACCTAGGGCCTTACAAATGCTAAGCAAGTGCTGTACTACTAAGCTATATCCGCAACTCTCCAGCTTTTATCATTCTCCTGCCACTGTCACCATCCATGACCTGAACTTTCTTCTTTGCCTTTTCTTTAGCTGAGCCTCCACCTGGACTGTCTCTTTGTCTAGGGTCCACCTGCACACTCTTTGAAGCCTCTTCAGCATCTTCCTCATTTCCAGACCCTACTCAGTGTAAATGGCCCTCTCTTACTCAGCACTTGGTCTTCTCTCAGCTGTCCAAGTATGTCTTTGGTACCATCAGTCATAAACATTTGACTTTCTCTCCAGAGAGGGAGTTGTCAAAGGCAAAGACCACATTGTCCTTGTCTCTGTCTCTTTTGAAGGAGAGTGGCCTGTCACAAGGCACATGTAGAGGGCAGCGAAGAAGTGGTATCACCTAGGACAGAGGATTGCGTGGGGATCCTGGAAAACAAGGCTGGATGATAGTTGCTCTACTGTTAGGGGCCTTAGGCTGTGTTCAGGGGCTGCAGGAACCCAGGCTTGGATGCTGATGATGTTGAGGACGGTGTGAGGAGAGAGGGCCTGGTAGGCAGAGACTGCAGATAGAGGCTAGATAGCGGTGGTGATAGTTGGGTGAGAGTTGGATGAATCTGAGGGAGGCATGAGGAGGCAGTTGTGGGATCTGTGAGAAGCTGGCTGTGACGAATATGCTTACTGCTGGAGCTGCACAGGCACCTCTGATGTATATGACCTCTGAACAGTGTATGTGAGAAGGCTGGGCCCAAGATGTTCACTCACCCTAAATGGTGGGAAGGAGTGATTCCCAAGTTGTCCACTTGGGTGGTGGTAGAAGGCCGTGGAGCTCCTGAACACTGCCTTCTGAGGTTGGAACTAGCTGGCCATCCAGCCTCAGGACATTCCTTAGAAGAACTCATCTATCCCTGTGAGGAATAAACCCACAGACTGGGAAAGGTGATAGGGTAGGGGTGGGAATAAGGGAAGCCAAATGGCACCTGATGTGGGGGTCAGTTGTCTGTGCTTTGCAACCATAGCTTTGTGACCTCAGGCCAGTCATTTGACTCTGTGTGCCTCAGTTTCCTCATCTGTAGCTGGTATGAGTCATACTAATCTTCTAGGCTGTGAGGATGCGATGAACACAGATGTTAAGACCCTAGGAAGCAATGGGTGTCTTATTCATGACGGACCAGCAGGTGTACGAACATAGGCACAGACAGAACGATGCGCCTCCAAGGGAGGTGAAAGATGCCCTTGTATTGGCAGGCCTAGGACATCAGGGCAGGGATGCAGGGTCTTTTAGGTTAAGCGGTGTGAGTGGGCAGTTTCATGTCTTTGGCCTGGTTTTGGTCATCTTTTCTGAGACTGCTGGGTGTAGGCCTGGGTGTCTTGGCTGCTGGGTTGGGTCCAGAGTCCTGCCCAAGGCAGCACCCTGGTTGCTGGTGGTCTCCAGCTGGTGACCTCTCAGAGAGGGTGGGGAGATGCTTGGGCTATGTGTGTCCTTTTCACCTCAGAGGGTGCCAGCTGGCCCATTACAGGCTCCTTACTTGGTGAGTCAGGAAGCAGCTTCTGTGCCCTGGGCCTAACTCTGGGGTCAGTGCGAGGACCAGATGGATGGCCCCTTCCCAGCTCCCAATAGTAGTCAGCTGATTTAATGCAGCATGGCCAGTGTTGAGGTGTCTTTTGAGAGCAGGAAAGACACTTGACCTGGCTCAGACCTGGCAGGCAGCCTTCTTGCTGCCACTGGGAAGGAAGGTCTGGACCCCCAAGTGTCTGAGAAAAAGACTTTCCATCCTGTGGCCTGGTCTCTTTCAGTCCTATGGTAATGAGTTGGCCACATTCTTGGGCCCCATCTACTATCTCCACCCCTGTTCCTGCCCTACCTCTGGAGCAGGTTGGGGCTGTTTGGGATGGCCTCAACAGCATCCACCCTGAATGTTTGAAGAGGATGCTTTGGACCAGAGCTGCTGTGGTTGTGGGTGAGGGTAGATCAGGAAGGATGACCAGAGAAGCTGCAGTGGTTGACCAGGAACAGCAGGCCTGGGTGTCAAGGTCACTATGTTTGGAGCAGCAGGAGGGTGCTGTCCAGTGTGTATGATATGATATGTAGTAGGCTGAGCAGAGGAGGCTGCTGTCCTTTCTTTGTCTTCCCTTAGTGTACACTAGGATGGCTCTCTAGGCATCGGAGCCTGGCACTGGTGATGGGGTGTGCCAGCAGATGACAGAACGCATGGTCTGTGTTCTCTTGCTGGCCAGCCTTGCCGTTCAGCCCTGCAGCCTTCATGGGGTTGGCTGCCAGAGGAGCTTTCACTGAGGAGCTTTGAGTACAGGAGCCCCAGTGTCACCCTTGGGTTGACCTCCCTTAGCCTGTGGTTCAAGAGAAGGAGGGACAGGGGATTTCCCATGTATGCCTCAGAGGATCTTGGTGCCTCTCCTCCTCGGGCCCCTTAAAGAGTACTGCCCAGTGATGCATGGCTGTACTGTTGGGATTAGTGGGGTGGGAAGGGGAGGCACCCTCCCTCCTCTCTACTCTAAAGTGGGGCATTGTTCTGGTAGGGTAAGGAGCTCAGCCATTTTAGGTCACCCTTGTGTTCACAGTGCTTGAGTGAGTGGGGGACACTGGGTAAACTTGACAGAACCTCTTCCTCCTATGCAAGCCAGCAGCCAAGCCCCTGAAAGTACAGAGCTGAGGAAAAGGCTGAGGTCTCAGGAAAGGGGCTAGGTACTGTTGTTCACAGGAGAAACTGTGGACTTCTTCATGGTGTGTTCTTGGAGGAGGGCCTGCTGTGTCGGGTGCTCCCCAGGGCTCTGGAAGCTGCTGTGCACTTCTGACTGAGAAACCTGTTTGCTTGTGGGGTGTGAGTAGGGCTGGGTGTGGGGAGGATAGTGATGTGTGCATGCAACAAGCCCTAATTAGGCTGTGGTCTGTGCCAGGTTTGGAGCCTGCCATCAAGCCCAGCCTACTGACAGGTGCACCAGTTGTCAAGAGGTGGTAGGTGGGGGTTGTAGAGGAAGGGAGGTCCTAGGGGTTCCTATGCAGGCTCCAGGATCAGGCACAGATCTTCCCAGAGAAGGAACACTGTGACCTGAGTTCCTAAGGGCAAGCCTGGAGCTCAGGAGAGATGCCTGCTTGGCTGGTTCCCCTATCCTCCCTCATGAGACAGTGGGGGCACTCATGAGAGAGGTGATCAGGGTTAGCTCTTCAGAGTGTGGGCCCCTCAGAGGATTTTAAGTCTGAGTTGCAAGAGGAAGTTGGATTTCATACTATGAATGAGATAGGAGAAGGCGATGGTGGATGATGATAATCCCCTTTATGCTCACTCCCTTGGGGGGAGAAGCTACTGAGAGCAGCCTTCTGAAGACTGCTCACCCTGCCTGAACTGAGAGGGAGACTGTAGAGCAGAGGCTCCTGTCCCTGTCTTACACCCCCTCTTCCTTGTTCCGCCTGCTGCCTCGTGGCAAGAACTGGGTGAGCCCTGGGTGCCAGCCAGGGCTGGGCCCAGATGGTGGTTTGAGGCTGAGCACAAGGAAGCCCTTGGCAGAGTGGGGTGGGGGAAGCCACGGCTCAGGGAGGGTGTGTGTGTGTGTGTGTGTGTGTGTGTGTGTGTGTGTGTGTGTTTTGCATGTGTGAGTATGCTGGCTGGGGTCTGTTGAGGGTGGCTCTTAGGGGTGGGACCCCCTCATGGGGTCTTCATCTTGGTGGGACAGGTCTGCAGATGTGTGTAGGTAGGCATGGCACCAGTAGACACTTGTCCCCTTCTTTTTTGCTGCCTGCAGAGTATCAATACGGGGGGGAGGGGAGCAGGAAGCTGAGGTTTTGTGAGTCAGAATCAGCCCCTCATCACCCCACCACCCTTAGCTCAGCAGCACCCTGCCTGATGCTCACATCCTTGGTGTTGCCTCCATGATTCTTCAGGGCCCAAGGTCTTAGACCCACTCTTCTGGCTTTAGAGGATCTGAGGAATGTGTGTTGTAAGCTGCTGGGGATCAGCTCCCCTGTGCGCAGATGGATCAGGCTGGATGGATGTGAGGCTGCATCCCTTCAGGCCATCGAAGACTGTGCACGGTGGTTTACTGAGAATGAAGGTGAAGGTGGGGTTCCAGGGAGAGGCTTTTCGTTGAGCATCCTCCCCGTGCTGTCTGCCTCTGCCGCTTCTGCTGGTAGGGGCAGCAGTGTTGCTGTGGTGGCTTCTGGGTTGTGAGTGTGAGGGGTGAAAATGAGGAGGCATTTGTCTTTCCTACCATGTCCTGCTCCATCCTCTGAGTCCTGTGAGGCAAGTGGAGCACTCACCTGGCAGAAGCTGGTCCTGAGTGCCCCCCTGTTGTGGCCTTTGGCATACCTTCTGGTTTGGCATTGTAGGGGTTATCCACAGGCAAGGCTTCCACCTCAGTAGCATCCATGTGGCCTTGACACTTGACAGGAAGCAGTGCCCTGGGCATGGTAGTAAAGGGGTGCAGGTCAGAAGACTTAGGGGAACATGGGTTCCAAAGAGCAGGACCTTGCTGAATCCTCCCTCCTGAGATCTGTGCTGGGGTCATCTCTGAGGGGCTGGGGATAGATAGCAATCTGGGACTGTGGGCCTGGATGGTCCCCTCCCCCCAGCACAAGGGGACCGGAAGCTTCTTATTAAACCCCACATAGATAACAAGTGTGAATCCTATGCATTCCCAGCATGGGCCCAGGGTGGGTGGGTGACATAGAGTTCGGGAGTGCCCAAATACGTCCTATACACCAGACATACCCACTGTCTGTCTGGTGGTCATTGTCCAGCTTTTGGAGTTGTTGGGGCTGATGCCTAAGTCAGGGTTGCCATGGTGGCAGATGCTGAGTGGGCTGTGGGACAGCTGTAACTGTGGCCCCCAGGGAGGCCTGTGCTGTGAGGGGCCTGGCTGGTCTGTGGCAAGGGGAGAACTCTGGCACATGGTGCTGAGAGAGTGGGCAGGACATGGGAAGGGGTGGGGGCCATGGGGACTTACAGAGATCTGGGGCTTCTTGCTGCCCCCTGGTGGCCCTGGGGCTTGTGGTTGCCTTGGCTTCTTGACCCAGAACTATTTATAGGGAAACAGTAGGTCTGAGAGAGCTAGTCTGGTGCCAGATGAGAAGGGGACTTTTCCATACTGGGCTTTGAGGCCTTGGCCAATTCTGGCAGGAGATTGGGGAGGGAAGTGGGGTGGGTTCTCTGACCACCTGCTTCTTTCCTCAGGGAGTGGGGAAGGCCAGGGCCAGATCCTACAGCGCTTCCCAGAGAAGGACTGGGAGGACAACCCCTTCCCCCAGGGCATTGAGCTGGTAAGTCAGGGAGACAGGCCCATCCTTGCTGAGCTGGTACAAGGGAATATAGACCTGCTGTGGAGAGTAGGGGTGGCTGGCTTGACTGTTGGGATGCTTGGTGCTCACATCACTGTGTTATATTTTCAAGTGCTCCCAACAGTGGGCATCATGCCCTTCCTGGGCCTCACCCTAGGTAGTGAGGCCAGAGGCTGTTACTCCTTTCACCAGGAGGGGTTGAGGCCCAGAGGGTGTCCCCAAAGCCACATAATTAGGCATTGCCTGTGTGCCCTGGAATTCCAGGCCCTGGCAGTGCTGATGCTTGGGAGTAGGTGTGCTGGGGCAGGTGGGCTATTTCCTGCTGCGGGTGTGGGTGCAGGCAGCTGACTATTGAGCCCTCCCTGCAGTTTTGCCAGCCCAGTGGGTGGCAGTTGTGTCCCGAGAGGAACCCACCGACCTTCTTTGTTGCCGTCCTCACTGACATCAACTCTGAGCGGCACTATTGCGCTTGCTTGACCTTCTGGGAGCCAGTGGAGCCCACACAGGTCAGCTAGGGGGCTCTGGGGTACAGCATGTGTGAGGATGAGCCCTTGGGCCATGGGCAGCTCCCTCTGCCTCTGGGGGTGTCTCCTACCCAGCAGAGGCCAAAGTTTCTAGTGGGCTGGGTCTGAGTCACCTGTGTCCTCCACCTGGGCTCATGGGACGAACCTGACGAGAGCCGGGAGCATGGGCTTCTGTCTACAGGAAGCAGTGTGCACCACTGAGGATGCCGTGGAGAGGGAGGAGGAAGCTGATGAGGGAGGCCAGGTGCGGCTATTGACTACAACATCAGCCCAGGCTGGCCAGCTCTTTGCTCCAAAGACCCTGGTGCTGGTATCACGACTGGACCATGCGGAGGTGTTCAGGGTGAGGCGGGCCACCAGGGCAGCGAGGCAGGACTGGGATGTTCCTGTTGGCAGTGCCACCATTCCATGTCTGATACATTGCAGAATAGCCTTGGTCTCATCTATGCCATCCACGTGGAAGGCCTGAACGTGAGCCTGGAGAATGTGATTGGGAACCTGCTGACATGCACTGTCCCTCTGGCTGGGGGATCACAGGTAGGTATTGAGAACAACTGGTGATTCCATGGCATAGGTTTTCCTGGTGCATTCAGGGGTGTGGGGGCCTGGTGGGCACTCCGTGTTCAGTGGCTGAGCATGGCCCAACACCTTGGGCACTTCTTTCTCCTCTTGGTGCCAGCACTCGTCATCTGTTCTTGGCCCCTGCCTGCTCACCTGGCTCTTGTAATCTGTTCCTTTGGGCCTAGCGTCTTTCTGTTCATTCTTGGGTGTGTGCCTGTCTCTGGATGTCAGTGTCAGCTTCTTATCTGTCCGCTCTCTTCTGTGTGCCTTGTGTGCCAGAGGTGTCTAACTGTGTCTCTCTGCCTGTCTGTCCTGTGCAGCTGGACTCTGTTGAGGAAGGAGCGGTATGGATACTTTGTTTCTTCTGCCCACCCAGGCCCTGCCCCTACCCCAGGTCAGAGGCAGCCACCCCCTGCCTTGAGTTTTCTCTGCAGCACTGTTCAGCCAACAGTCAGGGTGTGACCTTTCCCTCCAGCCATCCAGCCAGTCCCATCTCTGGGTCTATCAGTTCACCAGGGCCCACCTGGCACCACAGAGCTCTGGGCTGATTTGGGCCTCGTCAAACTGCTGAACTCTGGTCCTTTTCTTTCCACAGAGAACCATCTCTCTGGGAGCTGGTGACCGGCAGGTCATCCAGACCCCGCTGGCTGACTCACTACCTATCAGCCGTTGCAGTGTAGCCCTGCTCTTCCGTCAGTTGGGTGAGCCTGCTGCAACTTCCTGTCCTTAGGACTGGTGGCCAGAGGTGTAGTTCTCACTCTGGGGGGTTACAGGGCCCTCACCAGGCCTGTCCTCTTTCTTTAGGCATCACCAATGTGCTGTCTTTGTTCTGTGCTGCCCTCACGGAGCACAAGGTCCTCTTCTTGTCCCGGAGCTACCAGCGGCTTGCAGATGCCTGCAGGGGCCTCCTGGCACTACTGTTCCCTCTCAGATACAGGTGCCCCTCTGCTTGGCCCCTCCACCCGTCCCTCCTGGCCCCTCCACCCAGCCTTATCCTCTGGGACTCACTGTGTACCCCGGGACCTGTTGCAGCTTCACCTATGTGCCCATCCTGCCAGCACAGCTGCTGGAGGTCCTCAGCACACCCACACCCTTCATCATTGGGGTCAACGCAGCCTTCCAGGCAGAGACCCAGGAGCTGGTAAGGGCTGTGGTTTGTGTCTGCCTTACTGCTTAGGCCTGCAGGCCCCTGATCACTTGCTCTCTTTGGTCCACAGCTGGACGTGATTGTTGCTGATCTTGATGGAGGGACAGTGACTGTCCCTGAGTGTGTGCACATTCCACCCCTGCCGGAGCCACTGCAGAGCCAGACCCACAACGTTCTGAGCATGGTGAGGGCAAGGGCCAGATTGAAGCTGGAGATTACAGCCTGTGGGGAGCCATTGTGTGGCAACAGGGGGAGTCCAGAGCCTAAGGCTCACTGTGTCTCTCCCCTTGCTTTCTGCTTCTACCACAGGTCCTGGATCCAGAGCTGGAACTGGCTGACCTTGCCTTTCCCCCCGCCACGACGTCCACTCCCTCCCTGAAGATGCAGGTATAGGTCTTTGGACACCCCATCCTGTCATCTCAGTTCTGCCATGGCTGATGGCAGGGCTGATGGTGCATGCACATTGCAGCCTACCTTCAGGCCAGGTTGGGCTTTTATAGCACAGGCAGTTGGTTATATAGCAGGTGTGGGCAAGGTATAGGGTGCGGATGGAGGGGCCAGGACTTGGCATCCTGCCACCAGTGCCTCTGGGGGTCACTAGCAGGAGGGACTTGTTCAGCAAGTGTGGAGGAATTGCTTGGCTGTGTGGCATCCTGTGGGAGGGGCAGAAGGAGACCACAGAGGTGACTGAGAAGCCTCGCTCCCCGCTTTGTTTGGGAGTGGGGAGAAGCACCCAGGAGCCTGGCACTCACCTGCATTCACCTGTATTCCCAGGACAAGGAGCTCAGAGCCGTCTTTCTTCGGCTTTTTGCTCAACTCCTGCAGGGCTACCGATGGTGCCTGCACATTGTGCGCATCCACCCAGAGCCTGTCATCCGCTTCCATAAGGTGGGCTGGCAGGTGGTGTGGGGATAGAGGAGTGGAGTGGTAGGTAAATGCTCAGTATACCCTGAGTGGGTGCCCTTTTGGTGTTCCCCAGGCAGCCTTCTTGGGCCAGCGTGGGCTGGTGGAGGATGATTTCCTAATGAAGGTGCTGGAGGGCATGGCCTTTGCAGGCTTCGTGTCGGAGCGCGGGGTCCCCTACCGCCCCACGGATCTATTTGATGAGGTGCATCCCACCCCCACCTGTCTACCTCCCCTGCCATATGCTCACCTGCCCTAGTCTCACCCTGCCTCCTGTCCCCCCCAGTTGGTGGCCCATGAGGTGGCAAGGATGCGTGCAGATGAAAACCACCCGCAGAGAGTTCTGCGTCATGTTCAGGAACTGGCAGAGCAGCTCTATAAGAATGTACGGTGTGCAGCCTGATGGGCGGGTGTGGTGCCACCCTGGCCCACACCCACTTGCCATTGTCTGCCTTTCTACCCCAGGAGAACCCATATCCAGCTGTGGCAATGCACAAGGTGCAGAGGCCAGGTGAGGCCAGTCACCTGCGGCGGCCACCCCGACCCTTCCCCCGGCTGGATGAAGGCACAGTGCAGTGGATTGTGGACCAGGCTGCAGCTAAGATGCAGGGTGCACCCCCAGCTGTGAAGGCCGAGAGGAGGACCACTGTGCCCTCAGGGCCCCCCATGAGTGTGTAATGGGGATGGGAGGGGAGAACATGCCTCAATAAGGGACTGGGAGTGGGCTCTTGTGAGGGTGTGTGTGTCCTGTCCCCACAGCTGCCATACTAGAGCGGTGCAGCGGGCCACATGTCAACAGTGCCCGCCGGCTGGAGGTGGTGCGAAACTGCATCTCCTACGTGTTTGAGGGGAAGATGCTTGAGGCCAAGAAGGTGAGGTGTGCAGTGAGGGGCCCTCCAACTTCAGTTCAGGACAGCAGCCTCAGAGGAGGCACAGGCCTTGCCTCTAGTGCAATGGATGCTGGGCCTGCCCTGGAGGCTCTGCTCACATGCAGGTTGGCTGGAGGTGGATGGATTGGCAGGAGAATAGGTGGGCACCAGGTCTCCTCTCCTTGATCTCAGTGGGCAGCGGGACAGGCCTTCCAAGAAGGCTCAGCAAGGTGGGGTTGTATACATTTTTAGAACTTAGAAAACCTTAAGATTTCTATTAATTTTCTTCTGCATCCTTCTGAAAGACTGTAGACCTGTGTGTGTTGTATCTAACTTATAGAAAACAAAACCCACTCACATGCTGTTTTGCCTCTGTGATAATTCACGTAACACTTTTGGGATCCTTTTTTTTCCTTCTCTCTGTTTTTCTCTTGATATCAGGGATTGAACTTAGAGGAGCTCAACTACTGAGCCATATCCCAGCCCCTTTTTCGTATTTTATTAGAGACAGGGTCTCACTGAGTTACTTAGGGCCTTGCTAAGTTGCTGAGGTTATCTTTGAACTCGCAATCCACCTGCCTCAGCCTCCTTAGCCTCTGGAATTATAAATGTGCGCCACCGTGCCTGGCTGGGATTCTGTTTGACAGCCAGTTTGAGTCTTTTCGCAGCTGTGTGGTGTCTCCTGTGGTTTTATGATGAATGACCGTAACAATAGCTCAAGCTTGAGCCCTCTTTTGGCCTGGCCTGTGCTGGGAGCCCTGTGATGCTCAGGCCCATGTTTCAGATACTGAGCCCTGACAGACTGAGCAGGTCTGGGCCTCAGGCCTCTTCAGAGCACACATGCACTCAGCTTGTGTCCTGTCTTCCTGGGTTCTCGCTTGTGGACTGCTAGGTCTGCTGGAGGTTTTCATCTCTTTTGGTCTGTGTGATCTTTGGGTTTTCTGTGCGTGGTGGAGCTTCTGGCCTTCTGTAGGCCTGCTGCTTCCTCCCTCTGTGGGACTCCCCCCATCCCTCCCTCTTTGCCCTCAGCCCCTTGTTCCCCTTACCCCTGCTCCCAGCTGCTACCGGCCGTGCTCAGGGCTCTGAAGGGACGAGCTGCCCGTCGCTGCCTGGCCCAGGAGCTGCATCTGCACGTGCAGCAGAACCGGGCGGTCCTGGACCACCAGCAGTTCGATTTTGTCGTCCGTATGATGAATTGCTGCCTGCAGGTGAGGCCAGGCTCCTATCCTGCCAGTGATGTGGCATGTGAGTGCGGTGAGCATGGGTTCATGAGTTTCCCGGGACTCTTGCAGTTGGGAGAAACTCTTATCTTCAGGTGAGAATGAAGAGGGAGGGTGGGATGGGATCCTTGGTCTGTAGAAATGACAGGAACAGGGAGAGCCCTTGCTGGAGAAAGTGTGGGGCTGACTTTGGAACCTCTGAGGCCATCCTGGGGATCTGGGGCCAACGTTCTAGGCGGCAGGGCTGGAAGGTGCTGGTCTGTGGGGCCACAGAGATGTGATTGGAGGCGGGTACTGTCTGGGAGAGGGGCAGGCATCCCTTTTGCCCACTGCTCTGCCCACAGGACTGTACCTCCCTGGACGAACATGGTATCGCAGCTGCTCTGCTGCCCCTTGTCACAGCCTTCTGCCGGGTGAGTGCCAGAGGAGTCCCAGTTTCTTCCTTGGCTCCTTCTGGACCATGTTTAGTGACCTCCCCAATTTACCCCTGCAGAAACTGAGCCCAGGCGTGACACAGTTTGCCTACAGCTGTGTGCAGGAGCACGTGGTGTGGAGCACCCCACAGTTCTGGGAGGCCATGTTCTATGGAGATGTGCAGACCCACATCCGTGCCCTCTACCTGGAGCCCTCTGAGGACCAGGCTCCCTCCCAGGTGCGCAGGATTTCCCGGGCAGGGAGGAGGGCAGCTCAGCCCTGGCTCACTCATTGTGGTGCCATGGCAGGAGGTTGGGGAGGCATCATCCCAGGAGGACCAGCGCTCTGCCCTGGATGTGGCTTCTGAACAGCGGCGCCTGTGGCCAACTTTGAGCCGCGAGAAGCAACAGGAGCTGGTGCAGAAGGAGGAGAGCACGGTGTTCAGCCAGGCCATCCACTATGCCAACCGCATGAGCTACCTCTTGTTGCCCCTGGACAGCAGCAAGAGCCGTCTTCTAAGGGAGCGGGCAGGCCTGGGCGACCTGGAGAGTGCCAGCAACAGCCTGGTTACCAACAGGTGGGGGCAGGGTGGGGTGGGGAAGAGTGGGCTGGTCTGTGGGCAGGTGGGCTTGTACCCACACATCCCTCCTTGCCCAGCATGGCCGGCAGTATGGCTGAGAGCTATGACACAGAGAGTGGCTTTGAGGATGCAGAGACCTGTGACGTGGCTGGGGCTGTGGTCCGCTTTATCAACCGCTTTGTAGACAAGGTCTGCACAGAGAGCGGCGTCACCAGTGACCATCTCAAGGGGCTGCATGTCATGGTGCCAGGTATGGGGTTTTGGCACAGAAACACTTCCTCAGAGGGGGGTTGCCAGGGCCCAGGCATGAGCACTGTTTTCTCTTAGACATTGTCCAGATGCACATTGAGACCTTGGAGGCTGTGCACCGTGAGAGCAAGAGGCTGCCCCCCATCCAGAAAGTGAGTTGGGGCCAGCCAGGTTGTGGTGGGCACGAGGGGCTTGGACTGTGTCCTGAGATGCTGCTTCTGTCTCTGAGTAGCCTAAGCTGCTGCGGCCACGCCTATTGCCTGGTGAAGAATGTGTCCTGGATGGTCTTCGTGTGTACCTGCTACCCGATGGGCGTGAGGAGGGTGCAGGTGGTGGTGCAGGGGGCCCGGCACTGTTCCCAGCTGAGGGTGCCGTCTTCCTCACCACATACCGGGTCATCTTCACGGGGATGCCCACCGACCCACTGGGTGAGCCTTCAGACCCTTTTTCTGGCGGCGCCCTCTCCTCCCTGTGAGGTCTTTGGGTGGATATAGCACTTTCCCTGCCTCTCCTGTCCCTTTCTCAGGGGTATGAGATGCCTGTGGGTGATGGGTGCTCCTCTTCGACTTCCCACCTACCCACAACCCCTGTAGCTGTAGCACCCTGAGATCTGTGACCCTGTTTCTTTTCCCTCCTTTTGACTCTGCTTGGCCTGTTTTAGTGGGAGAACAGGTGGTGGTCCGCTCCTTCCCGGTGGCTGCACTGACCAAGGAGAAGCGCATTAGTGTCCAGACCCCGGTGGACCAGCTCTTGCAGGATGGCCTGCAGCTTCGCTCCTGCACATTCCAGGTGGGTGGCTTTCCCCTAGCCAGCCAGTCCTCTAAGCTGGTTTTCACCTGTGACCTGGCAAGTGTGTTGTCAGTGTGGGTCCCTCTCCTTGGCTGTCAGTGTCACAYCATCTGTTTACTTGGCATGCTGGCCTTTGGATCCTTGCCATTTCCCTGGGTGCTGACCCTTGTCTGTGTCTTGGGTGTGCTGGGCAAGCTGAAACCTTGTCAAGCAGCTTGAACTTGACAGTTTACACATACACTGGACTCTTGAGTATTTGGGAATGAGGCCTTCCCTTAAGGCTCACCCGCTTCTGTGGCACAATTGCTGTGAGAAGAGAGTCCACTCTCTCAGCAGCATTAGAGTTAGGGAGGGTCCTGGTGGCCACTCAGACCCCTGAGGGCTTCTTTGTCTGACACAGCTGCTGAAAATGGCCTTTGACGAGGAGGTGGGGTCTGACAGCGCCGAGCTCTTCCGCAAGCAGCTGCATAAGCTGCGGTACCCGCCAGACATAAGGGGCACCTTTGCTTTCACCCTGGGCTCCACCCACACATCTGGCCGGCCATCCCGGGTTGCCAAGGACAAGGGTCCTTCTCTCAGGTACAGATTCAGGGCCAGGGCAGCTGGGCACCAGCTGTGTGCTTTCCTCAGCCTTCCCAGGTGTGACTAAACTTTTATACCTTCTCTTCTCACCTTTGCTGTCTGTTTATACCCCAGAACCTTGTCCCGGAACCTGGTTAAGAATGCCAAGAAGACCATGGTGCGGCAGTATGTTACTAGGAAGAAGTATAACCCCCCTGGCTGGGAGCAGCGGGGCCAGCCACCCTATGAGGACCAGGAGGATGAGATCTCAGGTGGGGGCAGAATGAGGGTGTTCTGGGTAGTCTTTGTTGGCATTGAATCCTGTGGAGGACACAAGGCAGGGTGGGTAGTTTCTGGGTTGTGACCCTTGTGTGCTGGCCTGCAGTGTCAGAGGAGCTGGAGCCCAGCACGCTGACCCCATCTTCAGCCCTGAAGCCCTCGGACCGCATGACCATGAGCAGCCTGGTGGAGCGGGCATGTTGCCGAGACTATCAGCGCCTTGGCCTTGGCACCCTGAGCAGCAGCCTGAGCCGGGCCAAGTCTGAGGCTTTCCGCATCTCCCCAGTCAACCGCATGTATGCCATCTGCCGCAGGTGAGGGTTGGCCAGGACACTCCAGGAGGATGCGGTCAGAGCTGCTTGGGTATCTTCCTGGCCTGTTGTGGGCCCCACCATGGTTCCTGGCCAAACAAGGAAGGTGGAAGGGGGAGGGTAGACGGTTGGGCTTCTGGGCTTGGTGGGGGGCACCCAGCTGAGCTCAAGGTCTGGAAAGCACCTTTGACCCTCTTGTGCTGGGAGCCAGGAACTTGCTCCTTTGGTCTTCTCGATGGGCTCTTGACCTGCTCTGCCTAAGCTCTGTGGGGAGGATGTGGGGCAAGGCGCAGAACTGCCCTCACAAAGGCCTCTGCCTCCTGCAGCTACCCGGGGCTGCTGATCGTTCCCCAGAGCATCCAGGACAATGCCCTACAGCGTGTATCCCGCTGCTACCGCCAGAACCGCTTCCCCGTGGTCTGCTGGCGCAGCGGGCGCTCCAAGGCTGTGCTGCTGCGTTCCGGGGGCCTGCATGGCAAGGGTGTCGTTGGCCTCTTCAAGGCCCAGAATGCACCTTCTCCAGGTACCCTTCCTTGGTCCCATCTCATGTCTGTCCCATCTCCCTCCACCCTACTCCTCCAACTCCTGCTCCTCTCCCAGGCCAGTCCCAGGCAGACTCCAGCAGCTTGGAGCAGGAGAAGTACCTGCAGGCCGTGGTTAGCTCCATGCCCCGTTACGCAGATGCATCAGGACGAAACACGCTTAGTGGCTTCTCCTCAGCCCATATGGGCAGTCATGGTAAGGGTGCTTGAGGGTGGGCAGTGGGCATGGGTGAGGAGGATTACTGGGGGGCAGTGGCAGCATTTATGGAGAGCAGGCCAGTGAGGGGAAGGAGTGTCCTTGGTCAGGGACATTTGGTATTGAATGAATAGGGGCCCCTTCTTGGCACTGGGGACAAGGAAGGAGGCCTGCCCAAACCAGGTGAGTGTCCTGAGGCTCTGCCTGCTTTGGCCATGAGTCTGTCTACCTTCTTAAACCACAACGTTTTTTTTTTTT